TCATTCGTCCTCTCCTCCTCTCTCCTTCTCATCCAACCTCGTGCCTCTCTCCAGTGCGATTTCGGGGCCTTGATGGCGACTTCTACCGGATGATCATTTGTCTCACGCTTCGCTCATCTAGCTTGGTGGCACTGACGCGCACCAAGTCGACGAATTGGTCGAGCATGCTGCACTTGCGAATGCGGGCGTTTCTGGATGAACACCTTAACGTATCGTCATCTTCATCGGCACGTTGCTCGGCACGCCAATTGACCAATTCTGGTTTGTAAATTGCACCGCTGCAGCGCTGGTGTGGAACTTCAAGTTCGACGTCACCGGCTGCGCCAACGTCATGATCAACTTCGTCGAATTCCAGGGGCCCGTGTGTCCCCGCCATGTTCCCTAGCCTGCGTTGGGTGCCTCTCTGAGCATGCTGGGCACTCGTCTGCAACAACAATCTCCTCGATCTCTCCGTCTCTACGTCCTCCTCTCCCTCCACCTGCCTACCGTCATCCTCCTTATGCCTCCTCCCCTTCATGCTTCTTATCGCAATTTCTCTTCCCCCCTCTTCTGCTTCATGACGAGTCAAAGCGAATGCCGATACCGAGGGTCCCGCTCGATGCAGCACTGGCCCTCGCAAATGAAAGCCAGCGTGCTCCTGCTCCTGCTCCTCTTTGTCGTTCGCCTCTTCATCCTCTTTGTCCCCCTCGTCCTCCTTTTCGTACCCTTATTCCTCATCCTCCCTCTGCTCTTTTCCCTCCCCCTCCGCCTCCCCCTCTCCGTCCTTCTCTTCCTCCTCCCCCTCGTCCTCCTTCTCCAGCTGCTTCCTGCTGCTCCTCCTCCTCCTGCTCCACCGCGTCCTCCTTCCCGTCGCCCTCCTCCTGCTGGAACTGCTCCCACTGCTTTTCCTCCGAGGCGGCCGCCTCTATTTCCGCAGAAGCCTCGGCGGGTCTGCGCAACGTCTCGGCCGCGGCGAAAGCCACGCTACCGAAGTGGCTGCACTGCGCTGCTGTACCACGCACTGCGATGCACAGCTTGTCGGCTTACTCCCTCCTGCTTCATTCCCTCCTCCCCCCCCGTCCCTCTGTGTCTTCCTTCTTCCATTCCTCCCTGCCTAACTGCCTCTTACTTCTCCTCCTTATCTGTCTTTTCCTCCCTATCCTCCTTCCCCTCCTCCCCCTCCCCCTCCTCCCCTCGAACTCCAACTCCTTCCTTATTCCCCTCTTCCTGTCCAACCCTCCGAACCCCCCTCGTTTGTCCTCCTCCCGCAGCTCCTCTCTCCCTTCGCCCTCCCATCCTTCCCTTCCCCCGCCCCCTGCCCCCCACCTCCCCCCCCCCTTCCCCTCCTCCTCCTCGCTGCTCCGATCGCTGCCCACCTGGAGCTCTCGAGGAGCCCTGCCAGCCGCCGACCGCCCAGCGGCGCCGCGCCGCCCGGCCGCTACGCGGCAGGCGCCGTCTCGACCGGCAGCCCGTCGTGGAGCATGGCCGCAAGGCGGCCAGAGCGGCCGCGCTGTCCAGAAGCGGCCTGCGCCCCCCCCCCCCCCCGTCCCCTGAGATCCTGGCGGTGCACTTGTTTCCCAACAAGCGATTCTGCCTCGTTTCGGGCCTGGGAACCCTCACGGATCGATCCGGATCGCAAAACGCCGCAGAGAGATGGGGTCCAGGACTCTGGTCGTGCTTTTTGACGATCTTGTATCTTTTTCGCAACGTCGGATCTCAGTCTCTCCAGCGCGGCAGAGCGAGGGGGGCGGTTGGGGTGTGGGAGATGTTGGCGACGCGCCCAGGGGGAAGTGAGAGGGGGCAGGCCTTCTCAGGAAGGCGTGGCTTTCTGGGATGCCGTCTGTGGTTTCGGGGAACGCTTGAACAGATTCTCAGAAGGCGGGAGGGCCTGCTGAGAAGGCCCGTCTCCTCTGCCTTCGCCTCTGAGCGCGCCGCCGAGAGCAGGGCAAGGAGGACAGGGTATGGAAGGGGGAGGGGAAGGGGAGCAAACGGAATGTGAAGGGCGAGGGAGATAGGTCATGGGGGGTAGCATGGGCCAGGCGAGGGAGGAGGGAGGAGAGAGGAGGCGCAACTCCTTATCCTCCTCCTTCTCCTCCTCCTCCTCCTCCACCTCCTCCCCCTCCCCTCCTCCTCCTCCTCCGCCTCCTCCTCCTCCTCCTCCTCCACCTCCTCTCTCCTCCCTCCTCTCGAGCCTCCCTCGCCGCTTAGTGTCAGCTCTCGCCTCCTGCCACTCTGGCTAGTGACTTGGTTTCAGAGCGGGCGATGTATCTTTCGGTGCATTGCCCGTCTAACGTCCACTGCGAACCTCTGATTTTTCGCGCGCAGCCTGCCTGGCGCCTCCGCTCGCTGCAATCGGTGTCATTGCTTTTGAAATGGTGGGCTGGGCCTGGCGGTGGCGCTTCTGGCGAGTCTTCGACTCTCGGCGCCACCCATCCGGCGTCACTCTCTCTCTCCCTTCTCCTTCTCTTCCTCGTCCTTCTTCTCCCTTCCTCCTCTTCCAGTGGGGGAGGGAGGGGCCGGCGATGAGGGCTGAGCGGGAGGAGGAGGAGGAGGAGGAGGAGGAGGAGGAGGAGGAGGAGGAGGATAAGGAGGAGGAGGAGGAGGAGGGGGAGGAGGAGGAGGAGAAGGAGGAGGAGGAGGAGGAGAAGGAGGAGGAGGAGGAGGAGGAGGAGGAGCTCGGTCGGGCAATGTCAGCCAGCCACGACTCGGACGGAGAAGGGCCTCACGAGTGGCCAGTGAGGCGCCGCAGCGGGCCGCGGCCTGAGAGCCACTGCACGTCCACGTCAGCCGCTCGGCGGGTGGTAACTGTTTTTCCACGACGAACCCTCAGACCGCACGCGCACGAGTGGCAAGTGCGGAACGCAGCAGGGCACGCTGAACCTCTTGTGCCGCACGCTGTGGCCTGACATGATCGTTTCAACTGCCTCTGAACGTAACTTTGTCTGCAACTGTTTTGCTGAGGGGCAGTCAATAAGATGCTGCGGAAGATGATTAAACCACACAAGCCATACCGAACATCGATCTCTGTATCATGGGGCTCACACCATTATCGAGGTGTGTCACGGAGCGCCTTGTTGTGCATGCGCCTTCCTCAACCACCTAGGCTTTCGAGGTTGCCCGACATGGGCGGGAAAAGGGCGCAAGAGCAAGGGGAGCCTTGCTGTTGCTCCCCTCCTTTTCTCCGCCTCGGCCTCATCCCCCGTGTCCGGCAGGGCCGGGCCAGGGCATTGATTCCCGATTGCTTTTTCTCCAGACGGGATTGTGAACACTACTTTTCCCCGTAGAGGCTGGGACGCTCTGAGGGAAACTTGTTCGTGGCGATGCGCGTCGCCTTCAGCGATGCGAGGTGGGGGTTTACCCATCTCCACAGCCTGGGGAGCCGAAGCCCTAGGATCCCAGGGGGCCATGGATATGGATATATTTGGGCCCCCTTGGGCCCACACCATGATCCCGCCTCGGAAGCGACTCCGAGGCGAACTGCTGCATGTCGTCGCAGGCCGTGTGTGCGGTGACTAGGGGCTTCTCCCACGGGGATCTGCTTCTTCGGTCGTAAGTGGCTGGAGCCTCCCGTGTTATCATGCTGGCTCTTGCGAATCGACACTCGCCGACGCCGATCGACGCTGTTTGACGCTAAATCTGCGCAAGTCGAAGCTACATCGGCGCTGTCTCATCGACCACAAGACGCTAGCGCACGCGGATGCACTGTGAAGGCGGAACTCCGAGGGCATGCGCGGCGCCCATAGCTGCTACCGAATTCTGCCTGCCCGTGTTGAAGATCCAAATCTCGTGGTCTGGCACGCCCCGCGCGGAGCGAGACTTGGACCACGCATGGCCCCTCCAGGAGCGGCAGCAGCGCGGTGGGCGTCGCCCAAATGCGCTGCGGTCTGCAGGTGATCCGAGTGAGCGGTCGGTGGGTGCGGCCGTCTTCAGGGCGATTGCCCCTAAACTTGAGCCACAGCGGCCACGGAGGGAGGAGGCGGAGGAGGGGCAGGAGGGGGTAGGATGAGGGGGTACGGGGAGTGGGTAGGAGGGGACTGGACTGGACTTGAACTCTAATCCACGTGATCTCACCACCAACGGAAGACCTGACTTCGCAAGCATCGCTGCCGAGCGTTCGACATGAATCTGACTAGGCGAAGGAGAAGGTGAGTCGGGGGAGTGGGAGGAGGGGCGACGGGGGCGAAGGGAGAAAGGAGATCAGGAGGGGCGAACTCGCAAAGGCAACTTGCCGATGTGCCTGACCAACCCGCTGCGACTGGCTGCGATGCCATCAGACCGAAATGCACAAGGGAGAACACACAACTGTTGATGCTTTTTGAAATAGACGCAAGTACTGCACGCCTGCCCGATGGTGTGAAGGCTGCCAGATCTGTTCCGGTGCAAAAGGTCGAGGTATATTCAATTTCGTCTCTCTCTCTCTCTCGCTCATCTTCTTTTTTGTCTCTCTCTCAATCTCTCGTTCTCTTTCTCTCCCCAACTCTGCTCTACACTCTCTGAGGTGTACTCTCTACTCTGTACTATCTGCTCTTCGATGTTGACAACGGTCGCACATACTCTGTCTCTCTCTCTCTCTCTCTCTCCACTCCGTCTGTCTTTATGTTTGTTGTGTGTTCTCTCTCTTTCTCCCTCTCTCTTTCCCCCTATAGCTCGGTTACTCGTTTACTTGTTTTACCCTCTCTACTCGCTCTGCTCTCTATCTCTACTATCTCCTCTCTCTGCTCAACTCTGCTCTCTGTTGGCAAATATGCACTCACTGTTCTCAATCCCGCTCTCTCATGCTGGGATCCCCGGAACCAAGAACCCTGAAACCTGTCCCCCCGCCAACCGAAATCGGCCCAAAACCCAAAACTGGGAACCCTGCCACCGAAATCTGCCTGCAACTTTCGTCGGAACCCAGATCCCGGGAACCCGGCCGCCCACCGACATCGGACCAGCACTTTCGCCTGTGATTGAATATCTGCTATGAGACCCCTTCTGTGCAAACACTGGTTGGGGCGCTGGCGCCATGCGGGCGGGCGCTCTCAGCGGCCCTCCACCGACATCAGCCGGTTGTACTGCACGCGGTGGGCCTTGGCCACGGGCTCCGTGGCCGCGGCGTCCGCCTTCGCTTTTGCTATGTAGGCGATCACCTTGCTGGTCTCCTCCTCGTAGGTGTAGCCCGCGTCCCACTTCCAACGGGGGTCCCAGGTCCCTCCTCCACCCTCCGGCCCTGGGATGGTCGGGTTGCTGCCCCCCAGGGACATGTATGCCGGGTCGTCGTACTCCTGATGGTCGATGCCGAAAGGGTTGCGCGAGGACGGCCCATAGGGGATTCCAGGGGTCCCGTATCCAAAAGGAATGGCCCCCGCCGTCTTGTCGGTCGCATGTCCGTACACGTGCGGCCCTGGGGAGCCTCCCGAGCCTGTCCACTGTTCCAGGCTGTCCAATCCAGGGACGTCGCGGTGACCCGGGCGGGGGTACCGCAACGCGGGCGGAGGCGCCGACTTGCACCACGTGGGAACCGGGAGGCCGCGCTTCTCGAAGTACGCGGGGTTTACCCATACGTGGTCATTGTAGTGGAAGCGCGGCTCGACGTAGTTGATCCAATACGCGTCCAGGCCACCGATGTAGTTGAAGGAGGCGTTGTGCATGATCTCAAAGATGAGCTCTTCGGTTTCGTCTTTGGACCTGTGCTGAGCGAACCACTGGTAGCCACGACCAGACCGACGGCCATCGAAGCGGACCAACACGACTCCGAACTCGATGTTCTTCCCTGAATCCGCCGGCCCCCTTGTGGGGCCACCAGGCTGTAGGACTAGGGCTTGCTGTTCCCTGCGCCAATTCCAGTTTCCAATTTCCAGTGTCACGGTTCTGCTTCTTGCTGCTTACTGTTCATTGTTGATGGACGCGCGACGGGGGGGAGCCGAGAAGGAACCTAGTTACCACGCCCGAATCGCGTGCTCTGAATTCCTGGAGGGGCGTGGGACACGTAATATATATATATATATATATATATATATATATGTGAAATTCGCGCCCCCGGAGCCCGAACCCCAGTAAATTGTACAATAGTCGCGTCCCCGAGGCCATAAACCCTCATGGATTACGCGCTATCCGCGTCCCCGAAGCCATAAACCCTTGCAATATACGCCATATTCATGTCCCCGCAGCCATGACCCCTCGCAAATTACGCAATGCTTGCGCCCCCGAGGCCACAAACGCTTGTAAATCGCGCGAGGTTCGCGTCCCCGAAGCCATAAACCTTTTGTAATGTATGCAATATTTGCGTCTCCGAGACCCTAGACCTGTGTAAATGATACAATATTTGCGACCCCGAAACCATAAGCCCATCTCAATTAAGCAATAATCGCGTGTCCGAAATCATAAGCCATCGTAAATTACACAATGTTCGTGTCTCCGAAGCCATGAACCGGCGTAAATTACGCTATATCTGCGACCCAGAAGCCATCAACCTTCGTACATTACACAATAATCGCGTGTCCGAAGCCATACAAACCCTTGTACATTAAACCGTATTCGCGTCTCCGAAGCAATGCACCTGCGGAAATTTCAATTTGCGGCCGTCGAAACCATCGATCCTCGTAAATTACACACTATTCGCGTATCCGAAGCCATAAGCCCTCGAAGTGCAACACCGAATTCAACAATATCATCAGAATCTCAATTTGTCTCGCCGATTACTCATCGTCTACGCGTGAAGTCCCGACGCTGCTCCACGGCGGCGCCAAGGCCTCATGATTTCAATCTTGTATTGCCCATTATCCGAGAGAGGGGGCCGGCGGCAGGGGGCGAAGCCCTTACGGATAAAAAAATGTCTCGTTCAGGACCTCTGCCTCATAGTGACCGTTGTGGACGGCCCAGAAATCAATGGTCTTGCGACCGCCCAGCTCTTCCATGAAGGTGGGCAGGTTGTAGGCGTGGATCTGGTGACCGCTCAGCATGTCGAGTACGCCAGCGGTGTCGAAGCCGAGCTTCGTGGCGTTCCCTGTCGGTGATAAGCACCCCAAGAAAATCCACGCCTTCCTCATTTTGCCCCACAGCGTCGCGAACTCGTATATTTGAGGCTCCAGGATGAGGCCGCGCCAGCCAGTGAGCTCGAGCAGGAGCGTGTAGCTGTGGGTCTCGCCATCCCCGCCGTGGGTGTCCAGGTAGAAGCCGTTGGTGACGTTCTCGAGCACCTGCGTGATGAGCTTGACGTCCTGCCAAGCGTTGCTGAAGGTCTGGATGTTATCCCCGGTTTCCAGGCTGTACTCGACCCAGTGGGGAACGTCGAGCATGTGCATGGCCGAGTACTGGTGCTCCACCCAGCTGTCCCCCCCGCGCGGGGTGCCCACGCCCCAGGGCAGCTCGACGCCATCGCTGGTCTCCTGGCCGGCTCTCTGGAACTCCTCCGAGGGCTGGAACTCCCCGCTCCCCGCGAGGGCCTGGCTCGAGTCCACGCCCAGGAGGCTGGCGCGGCCCTGCCTCGGCCTCGACAGGTCTGGCGGCACGAGCAGGGGCCCCTTGGTGGTGGGAGGCAAGCAGGTACCCCATACCGTCGTGCGTTCTGACCAAGATGTCGAGGCGAGTCCAGCCGTGGCGACGAGGACCTTCAAGGCCGAGCGGCGGTACATGAACCTTCCTCCTCCGACCTTGGACGCGTTCGCGCGGGCCTCGATGGCGCGCTCGTACTGCGCGACCCTCGCCAGCGAGGCCGCGGCGCGCCCCTCAGCGTGTGCGATCTTGCGGTCTGCTTGCCGCTTGACCTCCGACCTGAACGCGATGCCGTGGGCCAGCGGGACGAACAGCGCCAGCAGCCACAGGGCCGCCATGGAATGAAGGAGTGGATGTCTGCCAAGAGCCATGTTGCACGTGCCTGAGCACTCGAGCCAGAAATGCTGCGGATGAGGACGAGGAGGAGAAGGAGGACAAGCGAGAGGGAGGGGGAGGGAGCTCAACCAGGCGAATCAGCGCTGATGTCGCCCAAAGAGCGTCCGCGTACGGAACGGCGGAGGCGCCAGGGCGCCTTAGCTGGACCATGAGAAGGACGGGGGAGAAGGAGGGAGGGTGGAGGAGAAGGCTGATGGAAGAGACGTAGACGAAATGAGAGGCATACCGATACCGCTACCACTCCCTCGTCGTCACGGCTGGACTCGCCTCTAAATCCTGTTCAGAACGCGCCCAAGGAGAGGTCTGATGAGAAGCGGTATCGCAATCTTTTTCCCACCCTCAAGGAAGGCAGATGGAATAAAAGAGGAACGGAAGCTGATTGGAGCTGCTGCTCTCAACGTTGCGGTGTCAAAAGCTGTGGATGGTTTGACTGATGACCGCGCAGCATGTACGGAACCAGCCAACGCGACAGACGAGGGCACACGTTAATCACATCTGCAAATGGTATTGCCGATGCGGTGGGGGATGGCACGCATGGCACGCGAAATGTCCCCAATGATGAAGAGCTCGGCGACATGCGCTGTTGGGCAGCGGACCCTCACTTGATAGCAAGCTTGGCACCACTGGCCAGGTGATGAAGGACATGTCGCTGCAGAAAACTGCACGGGAGAGATATGACGCCGCATCTGAATAATTTATCTTTTGCCAGGCGATCGCGCTCCCATGCGACAGATGATGGTGAAATTGACATGCACAATGCAAGCCCGGAGCCACGCAAGGACCAATAAGCAATAGGCGAGCCCGCACGCGAACCCCATCTCATCTGAATAGGAAAGAGGGAAGTTAAGTCGCCTGCATGGGAGCGCAATCGACATGGAGGGACGAAGTGGACGATCTAAAAAATCCAGAGAACCTCCATGCAACACCAGCGGGCGTGAACACAGTGACCGGAGGGGCGTGAACAGCACCACGCAAGCACATCAACCGATGAGTACACGAACAAGCCCACGAATACGTGCACGAACCATCACAACTAGTATTTTTTTTTTGCCCCTAAGGAGTTCTCTGGTGGCTCGCGGGTTCCCTGGACCACGGACGGTGAGCGATCAACACGCTTCCCGCGGCAGCTGGCCCATTCCAGAAGCCGAGCGGCGGAGGAGGCCACGAGAAGGCGCGAGGCGGCGGCTATCAGATTAAAGAAGTGTTGCGGCGACACCTGTGGATTACCCTACAGGGTCAACTTGAAACTCAGATGAAGGAAGGGCCAACGTCGGGCCGCAGCTAGGAGTCAGGAGAGGCAGCGAAGGGGAAAGAGGAGAAAAGAAGAACGCGAATGGGCAACCAGCCGAAGCAATCAACATCTGACAGCACCGTTGCTGGGTGGACGCCGGCGTGTCGCACTAAGCGCGGGACGGGGGAGAAGGAGGAGAAGAAGGAGAGACGCCAAAGGAGAGTGGCAAGCCACCGAATGCTCGTCGGAACACCTCGCGCGTGCGAAGACCAGACGATCTGGGCAGTGCCAGAACCGGCGCGCGCACAGGAGACCCACGCGAGTCTAGTGCAAACTGGGGCCGCAGGCTGAAGTAGGCCCCGAATTAGCCTGGTTGGAAGGGCCATGCCGCTTCGGCAGAAGAGCGGGCACCTAGTGCCACGATTGCCCATGCGACGCAAGGCGGAGGAGGAGGAGGAGGAGGAGGAGGAAGCAGGAGGACGAGAACGAACGGCAATATCAAATAAGGTTCTGAAGCCGCGCGAGGGGGGCGCAGGGCACGGGAAGCTCCGAGAGCAAAACGTCCCTGTCTCCCCCTGGGCGGCGGGCGCCGCCCCCGAGATCGGGGGACAGCGCACGGATAAGAGAAACGAACAAGACATGCGAAGCAACGTTGTGACGAAACGGGAAGGACGCAGGAGTCGAGGGGCGGGGAAACTGAGCACTACACCAGTACCATCGGACGCCACCCCCCGAGAGGGAGCCACAAGCCCAAAGCAGGGAGAGGAGGACCGCACCCCGACGACGACGACGCCGACGACGCCGACGACGACGACGACGACGACAACGACGCCGGCGGCGACGGCGACGACGACGACGAGACGAGGACGACGACGAGGACGACGCCGAGAACGGCGGCGGCGGCGGAGGAGGGAGCGGCGGCGGCGGAGGCGGCGGCGGCGGCGGCACGACGACGACGACAGGGGAGGGGAAGAGGAGGGAGGGAGGAGGCCGCAACAGCATATGGAGCGGGGGAGAGCGCAGCGGTCCCCTGCCACCCCAGGCGTGGGGCCCCCAGGGGGAGGCGGTCGGGCGAATCAAAAGTGCGACTCACGGACCTTGGCCTTCATGGCGGGAAGGAGGTGCCTGTCGTGGCCGAACTTCGGTGGTGGCCCCCTCCTGGTCGGTCGTTTTCATCTCGATGCTAGCGTCGGTGCTGGTGTCGATGCTGGCACAGGCGCCAGCATTGGTGCTGGCGTAGCGTTGGTGCTGGCGTCGGTGCTGGCGCCAGTGCTGGTGTAGGCGCTGGCGTTGGTGCTGGCATAGTCGCCGGCGTCGGTGCTTGCGTCGGCTGGCGTCCGCACTGGTGTACGCGCTGGCGGTGGTGCTGGCGTCGGAGTTGGACGTCGAAGTGGGGGAGTCGGGTTTGCCGTTGGGACTGGTGCTGGCGTCTGGGCTGGAAGGAACACCGGTGAGCTGGGCAGCTCACCGGTGTAACCTTGCTGCTGGCGTTGGTGCTGGCGTCGGCGCCGGTGTAGGCGCTGGCGTTGGTGCCGGCGTAGGCGCGGGCCCAAGTGCTGGCGTCGGAGCTGGCGTCGGCGCTGGCGTAGGTGCCATCGTTGGTGCTGGCGTCGGTGCTGGTGGAGGCGCTGGCATAGATGCTGGCGTCGGTACTGGTGTCGGTGCTGATGCAAGGGTAGCGTCACACGACATGGGGGGTGTAGTTCCGTGACGCGCCAACTCCGTGACATTTCGATTTTGCGCCGGATCGCTAGGATTCGAACCACTCGTCGAGCGTGTGCTTGCCATCATCTCGCCAGAACTGGTGGCCGTCATGGTCATGCCGCTCTTTAAGGATGTACCGCCGGTGCTGGAACGGCACGTCGAATCCGTAGTGGCCGACGTGTCTCTGGAGCAAGTGGCCGTCGTTGTCGTGTCGCTCAGCACAGTTGAACCGACTGTTGTCCCCGCCGCGTGGCCTCTAGCGTAAAGGTCATTGGCCGTTGGATCGAACAATAAAGTGGGTCCAAATTTGTACCGCCAGTTGCTCGTGCTGACGTCAGTGCTGGCGTCGGCGTTGATGTAAGCGCTGGTGATGGTGCCGGCGCCATCGCAAACGTTCGTGCTGTTGTCGGTACTGGCGTCGGTACTGTTGTAGGCGTCGGCGTCGATGCTGGCGTTGGTAATGACATCGGTGCTGGTGTAGGCGCTGGAGTTGGTGCCGGCGCAAGCGCCAGCGTTCGCGCTGGCGTCGGTGCTGGCATCGGCGTTGGTGAGCGCGCTGGCGTGGGTGCAGGCGAAGTCGCAAGTGTTCATGCTGGCGTCGGTGCTAGCGTCAGCGCTTGCGTAATTGTCGGCGATTGTGCTGGTGTCGGTGCTGGCTTCGATGCCAGCGAAGGCGCCCGCGTTGGTGCTAGTGCTGGTGTGCCTACGCACCGTCTCCGTGTCATTTTATGTGCACTGTGTGGAGGGGGGCAGAATTTGTCCCCGAGCTCCGGCCACCTAGCTGCGGCCCAAAGACGACCCGACCTGCGCGGTCTGGTCTATTTTCTCCGTGAGCAAACTAGAACCACAGCGCGCGGCAGGTAATTTGCGCGCAGGGTAGCTGGGCACGTGGAGCGTCGGATGCTGGGAACTGGAAGTCGGGGCTGGTGCTCGTGCTGGCGTCGGTGCAGGCTTTGTCGCTGGTGTAGGCGCTTGCGTTGGTGCTGGCGCCGGCGCAGGCGTTGATGCCGGCGTCGGTGCTGGCGTCGGCGCTGGCATAAGCGCCAGCGTGCGCTCCTGGGGAAATGGTGAGCCGCGCAGCTCACCAACCGGTCTGCTGGCGTCGGTGGAGGCGTCGGCGCTGGTGTAGGCGCTGGCACTCGTGCTGGCGTCGGTGCTTGTGTCGGCGCTGGTGTAGGCGCTTGCGTTACGGGATCCGGACGCGGAGTGCAGCGTGCTGGACGGTGGGCCGGCCCTGCAGCGCGCTGGATTTCCAGCGTTGGCGCTGACGTAGGCCCTAATGTAGGCGCTGGCGTTGGAGTCGGCGTAGGCGCCGGCGTTCGTACTGGCGTCAGCGCTGGCGTCGGTGGCGCTGGAGTCGGTGCCGGCGCAGGCGCTAGCGTTGATGCTGGCGTCAGTGCTGGCAAAGACGCTGGCGTGGGTGCCAGCGTTGGTGTTGGTGTTTGTGCTGATGTAGGTGCTGGCCTTAATGCAGGCGCAGGCGCCTGCGTTGGTGCTGGCATCAGCGCTGGCGTCGGTGGCGACGGCGTTGGTGCTGGCGCAGGCGCAGGCATGAATGTTGGTGTTGGTGTCCGCGTCGGTGTTGGCGCAAGCGCAGGCGTTGGTGCCGGCGTAGGCGAAGCCGTTGATGCTGGCGTCGGTGCTGGCGTCGGCGCTGGTGTATGCGCTGGCGTTGGTGCTGGCGTAAGCGCGGGCGTTGATGCTGGCGACGGTGATGGCGTAGGCGCTGGCGTAGGCGCCAGCGTTGGGGCTGGCTTCGGTGCTCGCGTCGGAGCTGGTGTATTTTTTGTTGTTGTTGTTTGCACCAGGATGCCCATCTGCATGCCAGCCGTTCGTGTATAAGACGCGTTGGCCTGCGTTGCTGCCAGCTTAGGCGCCGGCGTTGGTGCTGGCGTCGGTGCTGGTTTCGGTGTTGGTGTAGGCGCTGGCGTTTGTCACAGGCAGTGATGTTGACGTCGGTGCTGGCGTCGACCCTGGCGGAAGCACTGGCGTTGGAGCTGGCATCGTCAGCATAGCACTCGTCGTGCGAAACTCGTGTAT